GGGGGGGGCATACACCTAAAAGGATAAGAAACATCAAAATTTGTTTTATATATTTTTGAAGTATGACGAGAATGTTTTTATAAAGTTATAAATCGCGATCCGGCGAGAAATAGGAAAGTTATATATATATAATCGTAGGTTGAATGGATTCAAACGCGCGCTAGACGACTTGTATCGCCATCGTTCAGATCAATTCAGATCTAAAAAGGATCGCTCTTTTCTTTTCTATTCATCATATTCACCAATAGCAAGCATCGGAGCTATATTTGGAAACACGAACAGTCGATTTGCTAGCGGTTCTTGTCCGCAGCAATCAACATATTCAATCAGCGAGAATGAATCGAAGGTTGTGGAGATCTCCGGACATTCGAGGATATTCGAAAATAAAGAAAAAAAAAACACACGCACTATCTCAAAATCAACGTCAGGCCGAACAAGTTTCCGCCCAGCTTACTCACCAGACATCGCTCCTTCTGATAATCATCTGTTCGGACTGATGCAGCACTGCTTGTCTGGTGAGCGTTTGTCGTCGCGGATGTGCGAAAATGAGTCGATGAATGGATCACCTCGAAAGATGACTCTTTCACGCGGTATTCGTACACCGCCGGTAAGGTGGGGAAAAAGTCGTATAACGCGATGGTAAGTACTTTGATTGATTCATGCTACATCGATTGTTTCGTTTCAACGAAGAAAACAATCCCGAAAATCGGCAAGAACTTGTGCACCGACTTAACGTTTCGCCAGCGTGTGCGCATTAGAATCCAGTCGGGTCTGACTTAACCTAATTATTCGAGTTAATAATCTTTCTCTCTGTAAGTAGCTTAAAAATTCTCATTTCTGTTGCATATCATAATCTCTTTCATTTTCATTTTTTACTTATTCATCTTTATTTCTATACTTTCCATCACTTTAATTCGCATCATTATTTTATTTCACTACTTTCTTGTATTTCGGCCTTAACTCGCTATTATCCGTTCCCATTATCTCTAGACTTATTTGTATTCTTAATTTGTCTTTTCTGGGCTTTCCCTAGGACTCAGGTAAACTTCCCTCTCTCTCTCTCTCTCTTACAATCTTTCCTATTTCGCAGATTCCGGATAAGATTCCCCCGACGAAACGCCGTAGCGAACGGCACACACGTTACACGAGGAGATATGCTTCAATCCACGTTTCTTGCAGCTATACAGTAGTCGGACTACTTTCTTCATGCCCGGTTAGAGAGTGCGACGAACTCACCGGAAATTCCAAACGGTATTTCCTATCGTGAAGACATACCAGCAGCCACTTATCACGGTGGTTTACCGTGCATATCGGGAGAATCGATCGCCGAATGTATGCGGCCTCGATATGTTTTTACAAAGAACTCTCTCCGCACGAACAGAAACTCCACGTGGGTTTTTCCGTCCGCGATTGAGGTCGCGTCGCTTGGTAAGACAATAAAGTAGGTGCTTTGTTTGGTCTCGACTGGCAAACACATGGAAATATGAACGCTCTTCGTTCAGCGATTCAACGCGACGCTGAGATTGTTCACATTTTGCCGGCGCACACGATTTTTGCGGACGCGAAGGTACGCCCCGTTTCTTCCGGTCCGGTTTTCACTCTGAAGCATCAGTGTTATATCGCGCCGGGATCTCTCGCGTGATCCTCTCAGCGTGAGAATATGTTGGCGAAAATTCACGATCAAAGATATATATATATACATATATATATATATATATATATATATGACACTGTGACATATTTTTAAAAAATGTATACGATTCTCTTTCGCCAACAGATTGATCTTTTCACCTACCAAATTTCACTATCATCTTTCCTCATTATCTCTCTATATACTAGATACATTACTACAGGATCGATCATGGATATCACATCTCCGTCGCAAAAAAAAAAAATTTACTTTTAATTAGACAAACATTAACGTCCGATTAAATCTCAACGTGAGTTATCGAAGAACAGATGCTATGAAAAGTACTTACGGCAGTGTTTCCACCGAGATCGCGATAAGTCCATAAATCAATTTTTTTGAATCTCGCACGATCTTCTGACGCCGCTGGGAATTCAATAATGTCACGTTGTGATTTTTCAAATATTCATTAACACATCATCGTTCAATATCCGACATTAAAAGCAACTGCGCGAATCGCAAATAATGCGGAGATCGAAATACGGCACGTCTTGCCGGATAGAACGTTCTAAATGCCACAAGTAAACGCGCAAATTAACACTTCGTAGATTATGCTACTAATAAAACGTTTCGTCCTCGCGTTTCGTTGCTCGTTCGCTGGAACTTTCCGAAGCCTCGTTCCTCGTTTTATTATTCAACTTTATTATTCGCTCTTCAGTCGAAATATCGAGACATTTACGGTGAAAGAGGAAGCCGCCATTTTCGCGAAAGAGAATCACCTACAGAAGACTTCGTCGAATACCGATGAAACGGTGGAAGGGACAGCCGTCAGACATGACTGACAATATTTTCGCACGCGGCTTAATGTTACGCTATTATCCCAAATTATGCGAAGATAAAGATAAGATAAGCGACGGTTAATTAATGAAGGACAAAAGGCATGGATTTTCGACGCGAACGTCCTTGATCCCAGGTGTGGTATGACAACATATCGACGACGCCGATGTTCGCGCTATCTTGGGGGGGAAAACCAAGCGATAACGGCAGAAAATGTATATTATCAGTGCATCGTTCGTTATGGGCGAGTCACTGTTGTTATCAAGGGATCGAGTAATGACCAAATGTAATTAACATGTTTGCTATCAAAATCACACGTGTGCGCGACGATCTCTCATGAGAGACCAGCGTGGTCACATGTATGTGACACGAATTATTCAAAAATTTCCTCAAGACGGAGAAAAAGTTTGGTCGAATTTACCAGACGATAAATAAACTACAAACGCGTTTTCGATTCATAGAAATACGTGTAAAAATATCGGTTCACAGAAATTCTGTTATCTTTAATTAAAACACAACATTGGTTTGTTCATTATACAACCACTTTTTGTACTTACATCAGCTCTGACTCTGATCTCAACTGACTAACCAAAGAAATATAGAACGGAGCCTTCAGAGCTGATTAAGCTCTATGATTAACAGCAGAGCTGTAGCGATGTAATATTAAATTTTGTGGGAGAATATAAACGTACATACCGGATTAGCCCGCGGGCAAACATGAGCGGTGAATCAACCTTCCGCGTTAAATGTGAATCCCGAGTCCCAAATATATGTGATCTCCGATAATCCTGCTCACAACAGGATGAATTGATTAGCATATTTCTTTTTATCCCACTTGTATACACAATACTGCCCCAGCCAGGAGGCAAACTTGTTTCCTGTGCGGGACGAACGCTTGAATATCGTAAAGTCGTCGCGTATAAGATCGAACGTCATTTCACTTCGTACGTGGTTACTTATCCGAATATGAATACCGAATGCTCATCTGAGAACACATAAGTATGCGAGCGATTGCGGTGTGATTGCATGCATGTGCCGTATAAACGCCGCATGCAGAATCATGCCTGCAATTTCGTACGCAAGTGCAGCCCGCGAGTGATACCGTATAGATCGTTTTAACATTCATTATATGCGTATGCCTGAGAGGACGAATACCATTATTATTTATATAAGCGAGACACGTTCGGGAAAACACGCTGACTCGACGACGGGGGAAGTGACATGCTTTTGGTCGATCCGAATTGATAGGATAACACGGTAGTTTATCCTCCCCCTCCCGATAGTTTTAGCGTTTACGTAATCAACGGTGAAATAATTCAGACCAAACGAATAAATTTGATTTAAATTAATTTAATCTCAGTTGAATTTTATCGCTATCAACGTGGAATGAAAAACTGCTGATTGCAATCGGATTTTTAAATCATTCTCGAAAGAAGCGTCGCGCAAGAGTACACTCGGTGTCTTACTCGTTAAGAGACGCCGCGCGTCTCTGAGTCACATCGTAATCATCGATTATCAATCGCACTAACACCGCACTTTCTGTACCGATCGCCCAGGGCAAAATGCGTCGGCACTTCTTTTTCCTGTGAAATTGCAAACCGCAATTGTTCGTTATCGTCGTCTCTCTCTCTCTCTCTCTCTCTCTCTCTCTCTGCCTCTCATTCTTTTTTTCTCTGTAGCACTAAAAAGTAACATTTAAAAATTACGAGCTGATAATCGACTAAACCGGCCCTTACCGAGAAAGGAGCTGCGCAAGTATGCATGGTAAAACGGAAATCCCCTGCACTATCGGCGCAATCGGTTGAGTACGACGCTGCTCCGCCACGAAGCTGCTATATTCGGGAAAGCGCTATCGTGTAAGCGTAAGTAAAAGCGCGTTCTTGGCGATTTTTTGTCGCAAGGAAAAAGTCTTCTTCACTAAATCGGATGATCTCGGAGGAGAGATTAGAGTCTGGTGTTCACCGCTGTCGAAATAAATTTCTTTTCATCACATTCACAAAAACTGAGACTGTGAGGTCATCCAAAATAGACCACGTGGATGGAATCGCCAGACGCAAGATATCGGTAGAGTGGGCGCGACGTAAAAACGACGGAAACAACAGAAATGAGACGAGAGAGACTTTTTCGCTTTTTCTTCGCAGATCGCATCAAACGCGCAAATATCAGTCGCTACGCGTTGTGATGCTCAAGTATACCTTGCCTGATTAACGGCTCGCACATAGCTCTCGGCAGCAGGTGATACGTATTCTTCTTCAGTGTTACCACCTCGCCATCGTCGAGCTCTAACTTGCCAAAGTCGGTTAAGCACTTCACCTGGAACAAAAATCACGCTTATTATCTGTATAATTTGGAGATTTCTATATCCGGGCAATATTCGCGGGTTTGGGCACTCGGTTCTTTTAGAATTACCCTGGAAGTGTCCGCAGTATTCATAGATATTATTCCGTCAAGCAGAGAATTGTAACAAGTAAATAGTTACAAGCCTGCACGACATTCGCTTATTTATTATCATTAGGGAAATTCACAGGTCTGTTATTTCGTTATGTTCCTTGAACTAACGACACCAACTTGAAAAAGAACAGACCTAATAATTTATAACAAACCTGAAATTATATCATATGTTCAGTTAAAACTTTGGCATACAAGTACCACAAACATAGAATGTAAACCTAAGATAAAGAACCAATCGGGATATTACTTTAGATTTATGTATCTAGAAAGAGATAGAACTGATAGTAAATTTAATCGTAAGCACAAGTGGGACTCGGTTGGTTGAAATCTTGCTTGATCTGAATCCTAATTACTTCTACTTTTTTTTATAGAATACATAAGCCTAAAATAATATCCTGATTGGTTCTTCCAGCTTAAAGTTACGTATTATGTTTATGATTATTTGTATAAACAAATCCTTATTCGGATATCCGTGCAATATTCAAGAAATTTAAATTACCCAAGTAATAATCCTGAAAAACTCAGGTAGTCGAGATTGACAGCATTACTTATCACCATTCAACATTGTCTTTACATTCTTTTTCATGTCGTCATTTGATTATCGTATGTAGAAGACATATGGATTGTACTGAAGCATATTATACAAAAAGAAAAAAAGTTGTACTTGCCTGATGATGAGCCAAATACATTTCGGTTGAAAGAAACAGAATTTCTAGTTTTCACAAAATTGGTTCTCATAACTGGAAATTCCGTTTCCTCCAAAAAAACACTTGGTTTGTTCATTGTTAGATAAATTCAACCAAACTTTTTTCATATAGAATGCTAAGAATCCAGCTTAATTCCTCTTAGGTTTAACGACTCTTATTTTACACCCACCTCAACATAGAGAGTTTTTGGCGGGCTCATGTTCACAGTCAAGTTCAATCCATGATCATCTCCAATCGATTTCATGTAAGTAGCCAGAGATTTGTTGTAGTTTTGAAACCACTGCAGCTCTGCATTCAGTAGATTAGCAGTTATTTCGGTTGGCAAAATGCTGCCCAATTCCCAGCGCATTTCGCGTAATCGCTTGATACGGTGATACAGATACGCCAAGACGCATCTCTTATTTCTCAGTAGGGCTGTGTGTCGAAAATGTATTGATGGCAACAATGCGTTGTATCCTTCGTTCTGTATGGCATTACTGAAAACAAGGGAAATCTATAGGGAATACCAAAAGTTGGAAGCCTACTGGAACCTATTATTGTCAAATATCTTTTTGTATAATTATGCTGGTATCGGTACTCAATGTTATATCAGGCTGTTTGCATAATATTTTATTGCTTCACTATATATCAGAAATTCATTGTATTTTTATGTGAGAATTTCTAGAATATTTTCCTATCAATTTTGTGTTGAAATAATTTTAGAATCTGGTAATCTTTAATTGCTTGCAGTCAAATTAAAAGAACATCTAGCTTTTTATCAATCAATCTCTACTTTGTGAAGAATACAAAATAAAATTAATGCTGGTTACAAAATATACCTGTCCACTAAGTTTGCCTCATATAGCATTTGCATTTCTTCGAAAACCTGTCGTAGCAGCTGCTCCTGTGAATTATAAGGGAATTTATTTTATTTAGAATACTAATAATAATAGAATATTAAGAAAATATTACTAGGATAGTTTCATAATACTTACATTAAATGGACGGATGTCTTCATACATATCAAGCTCTGTAATGAGTTTAACAGCTTCTTTGCCAAACATATTTGAAGATAATTGTTCCTAGAAACTTTGGTAACAACTTTGTATCTCTGTAATTTAATCTCTGTAAATTAACATATATATATTCATTGTAAATTTCTGCTTTCTGTTATTTATTAGATAATCATTTAGTATAGGATTCTTAACTCCAATATTGTTGTAATTATGCTTATTCGAAACGCTTTAAACAATTACCAAAAATAATATGAAAAGTACATATATACATATATATAAAATTACATATAAAAAATTATTCAGTATTTCTCATTGAAATGTAAATATTGATTACATCGTCACGTAACTTCTTGTTAGTATCCGAGAGTTTTATTTTATATGCTGACTTATCTCAATCAACCGTCACATTAGATCTGTTCGTTTTCGCTGCACCGTTGAACTAGTGTAATAAGTCAAGTGAGAAAATATATACTTGTCTCGCTTCAACTTATTACACTAGTTCAGCGGTGCAGCAAAAACGAACAAACCTATCATCAGCAGTAAAGGTATCCTTACATGACAGCATCGAATATAGAATGTCAAGGCCTATGCATAATGAAAAACCACAAGCAATGAGAATAGAGAATAGCTGCGTTCAGCAGGATGCAACGGATAGTGAACAGTTTACTGATGAATCGCAACATGTTGGATATTCTGTTAAACATTGTTACATTTTCGATTTGTTGATTCGATTTATTGACAGACTTTTATATAATATTATTAATTCTATATGTATATAATTCTATATAATCGTTTTATAACCTATAACCATTCAAGTATTAGCAGACAACCGCATTCTTTGGTCGATAGTCATAGTCGGATCTTATATCTAAGATCGTCTTAAGTTCATCTTCAAATGCTTCGTAGCCAATGAAATAAGCTATGCAATATCTGAAAATGAACTCAAGACGATATTATATATAAAATCCGAGTATGAATACCGGCCTTTACGCTCTTATCTCGCGCATGCGCTCTAACTTACATATAAGTTAAGAGGAGGGTACGGTAGCACACATCCACTTACATCAGCCGGTGCCTAGAATCTTTCCGTTGGACCACCAATTAAAAAATAGAAAATTTTATATTAAATTAACCAATCACTTATCCTATCGGAGCCCTACCTAAGTTACGTATATACTATAGTTTAAAAGATAGTTTTTTCAATACATGCCAGTGGCACCAGAGCGCCTCTAATCAGAATGGCGACATACGAATACCATTTTTGATTGGCTCGCCATTTTTCATTCATTCCCGCTAGTTTTTCGATTTTATTTTCTGTATTTGTATTTTCATAAAAAAAAAACGCTCAAATTAAAATAGGAAATATTAATGTTAATTGTAAATAAATTAAAGAATGGGAATTATACATAAAATATTAATATAGCTTCAGTCAGCTTACGGTACAGCTGACTACGATGGCTGCGTTCTTTTTTGGTGTTTACGTGCTGTTATTCTTTGTTCGTTACGTGTCAAAAGAGGACAGAACGAGCTTGCAGCGCGTCAACACCCAAAAAGAACGCAGCTTGTATGATAGACGGAGATCGCACATATTTCTTTCTCTCTCTCGCGCAATTTCGATGAAAAATGGCGGAACCCTTCTTATGTCGCGATTAGAGGCGCTCTAAGTGGCACGTGTTTGCAACGCCATCTTTTGACCGTCCCAGAAACTTTCCAATTTACCTTCTTACGAGGTGTAGGAAAATTACGCTCACGAAGCATCGGAAAGCATCGAGGATTCCTGAAAGAGAAGAAGGACGAGAGCCGCTTCTCGCGGAGACTATTCGAAGGGAAATGACAGGCATCGTGTTTTTGAATAAGATCACGCAGAACCGCCGCGGCAATTGGTCCAATCGCTCGGCCGTATCTTCTTCGCATATCCCATTAATTTTTACGACGCAGAATGAATGGACGTTCCTTCTTCCTCTTTTTTTTTCTAGAATCGCTCGATGCGTCGTCAATACGTATCTTCGCGTCTAAAAACGGCTAATGTGCGATCGTAAACGCGGAAAGTAATATTACACGCGACGGGCAACATGCAAGTACGTACGCACCTACATCACTAACGGGAAGCGCGCATTGCCGGTCGGCGACACATAAAACGCAAATGTCCTCCATCGTCGTCGTCGTTGCTGCCGTCGCAAGCTCCGATACATCGCGTTCCTAACACAACGGAAGACCAGACAACGCTAGTGATTTTGCGAACTTTGATATTTACGATATGTAAATGCGTTATATCATCGCGACGGGACGTTCGAGACGCTGAGGTGATTTCACAGATATCATTTTACACCTCATCGCGCCAGCACGCGGTCGAGAATTTTCGCGCGGCGGCCCGCGGTAGAGAAGCATACGAGCAGTCTCTCTCTCTTTCTCGAGAAACGATTTGTCTACCTATAGTATCTCATTTGTATCGAAACTGTGTGTTTCAATTCACTTGTATTTCGTCAACGGGCATTAACATTTTCGTCATCGTCTGTGCACTCGAGGAGATTCGAATTCTGCTTTCGGCGCGCGAACCATTACGAGTGCGATTGAAATCTCGAATCGCGAGACCGCAGTTATTAAATCCGTCGGAGCTTTTCCACGCTATCTGCATTCGGCGCGCACGCGTTCTACGTCCGTAAATATGGACCATGCTTGTCGAATCGAGTGCACAAAATCCTAATATCCGCACGAATGTGTTCCTTGTCCCTCTCTCTCTCTCTCTTTTATTACACGGCATATGCCGAACTATACATAGACATTTGCCCCGGATTCTGGTCGCGAATTATAGATCGCCGAAAATAGGTTTAAAACCTCTGAGATCGCGGACGCGAGGCGGTTGAGTGCCATCCGAAATTTTTCTATATCGGTCGCAGGTATAATATTGATTATTTATGATCCACGCTATCCTCTTTAAGGTGGTTCATCCTTGTCCCTGTCCGCGCGCCGTACCGCCCTGCGTTACCACTTCCACCAGTCTCCGTCTGTCCCTGTCTACCCACCTACTTCTCTTTGCGCTCTCTCTTTCTCTCTCTCTCTCTCCTTCCTTCTTCCCTCCTTCTCTATCTCGTTCTCTCTTTCATTCCTTCCCGCTTCTCGTCGTCTTTCCTTTCATCCTATCTTCTCGCTCGCGCGCTCTCTCGCTCATTCGTTCACTCACCCGCTCACTCACACATCCATGCACAACCGTGTGCGCGTGCGTGCGCATACACAGACACGCGCTCACATAACTCACACAGCATGCATGCACACACACATACACACGCTCATTCTCGTATTATCCTCCTACTGGCTCTCTATTCCTGCGTGTAACAACTCAATGGCGCTGCCACACCCTTGCGCCATCCAGTAATCAGTGCTATTGTTTTATAGTTCCTCTTCTGCTATTGCTTCTCGATACTAGGAAAGGCGACCCATCGATCCCTCGACGGCGTTCGCTGCGTCGCTCGGCTTCGCCGCGCCTCGCGCCGATCCAAAGCTAACAATGACGAACGGCGTGTTGGCTAAGCTGAAGCGAGCGAAGAAGAAGCGGCACATTGCCTTGCCACGAGAGCAAGAGAGAGAGAGAGAGAGACTAAAAGAGAGCTCAAATATACTTTCCCTAACTAAAATATCGTGACGCGAATAGTTCTTAAGTCGCGACGGGATTGAGAAAGCGAAGATTCGGACGATGTGGACCACAGACGCGAATGACGAAAACTTTGTATTCCACTCGGTCGAGACCGAACTTTGGGAAGCGATCGCGCGGACGGCGCAGACGGCAATCATCGAGATGTTTCGTACAACAGCTCACGCGTAACAGACGACGGGGAGAAATTCTGGCCGAGACGAGATCCATTCCGGTGGCGCTCTATCGAGGAGTCAGAATCCGCCTGTTACCTACGTGGAAATACATATGCAAACTCCAAAACGATGATGCCGTCGGCAAAATGCCGAACGCGTCTGTGCCGTCGTGGTGAAGCTCGCTGGGCTCGCCGCGGCTCGCTCAATTGCGCGTAAATATATATCGGAACTGAGCGTTTTGCTGGGGAAGAACGTCGAGATGTTCACGCGGCTCTCTCTCTCTCTCTCTCTCTCTCGGCCGACCTCGCTCGTCTCTCGAGCGGAGGCAACTGACAACACAACGACGGTGCAGATATCCGTATAGTCGGCGCGCGCGAGGTATCGAGAGAAAATATCGCGCGCGAGCGCACGTGAAATATGCGTGACACGCATATTTTAGACAATCGGGGAGATACGGAGAGTCACAAGAGCGCAATGACTTTACTATTAACTACTCGACGCTAAAGAAGTAACCGCACTTACGCGCGGAGAGGTGTTCTGCGCCGCGTCGCGTTAGTCGGTGGGTTATCTCGGCAAGTGTCGGCCGCGATAATAATTACAGCTTCTCTGCGATCGTACACCGTCGTGCCACCGCCAACGTCGTCGGATGATCGAAAAGAGTCGTGTGCAGTATCGACTCGGCCGACACACCGCTTCTCTCGCATTTCGCGCAGGCACGGGGGGTTTGCGTTTCCTCCTCGCGATTTATCGGCCACGTGTAATTTTATCAGGAGAAACGGCGGCGAGAAGTTCTACGACGACAACAAACAGCACAACCACCGTCTCTCGACTGATTCGCGATAATAATAACGTCGGCCCGTTTTCAGATCGGACGGCCAGAGACGCGGTAACGTGGTCGGTGAAGACGTTCTCACCCGGTCGCATTGTCTGCCACGAGAAAGCCTCTTCCACGGGGAGAGAGAGGTCTTCCTGCGCGCGATTCTTCGCAACCGGACAAAGCGGGTTCGCGCGCGACGAGAAGCGACGATTCGAAAATGAAACATGGGAAATGACCCGCTGCGTTATTTGTTGCCAGGATACACGCGGTGCCCCCACGGCTCGGCCGCTTCCTTTCATCATTCCGTGCGGGTCTATATTCGTCCGATGTGAAGGCGATCTCTCGCGCGCGCGCCGCGAGAATTGCGCCCTGCGACACATCGCGAGTGTTGCGTAACGCTAATTCAGCTTACGCGTCTATCAGACGAAGTCTAGTTATCTGACGTTTCGCGTGACTTGGACGCAAGCACGCACGTACGTACGTACGTATGTACAATCGGTCAAAGGACAGTTGCAACACTTTTTTCTCTATATTCGCATCCCGCGTTTAATAAAGGAATGCGGGCTTTTTTTATCATAATTCTCGGACTTTCCTATCGGGCCCGAGGTGCGTTGCGAGACTCGTCTAAACAAAGTGTCGCAACTGTCCTGCAACTGTTAGATGTGTGCAAACTGTGCGAACGCACAGCCGCTTCGGTAGCGCGCGAAAAAATTGTGCGTTTCGATATCACGTATGAAAAATTTACACGGTGCGTGTGCGCACTTACATACGTTTATTTTCGTACGCGGGAAGAATTTTGTAGCAAACATTGCTACAGGATGTTGTGTAACCGAAGGACACATCGATATCCTGCCTCGATTTATTATTCTTCCGTTTCGTATATGCTGTTTGTCTTTTAGAAACTGAAGTATCTACTACTACAAAATTGATTTAACAAGGAGAGGGCATAATGAACTCTCGGCCGATTTTTCATTTCCTCGCATCTGTATATCTATATGGAAAACAATTAAACCCGTTTCTGAGCGTTATTGCCGAATACAACAGAACGTCGATCTGAAATAGTAGTTTTTAATGTTTGAAATTATAAGCGTTCGATAGTGTACATCAAGAGACTGAAAGGAAGGTGGTGAACAAGCAGCGTCGCGTAATCGATAGGTGTGAGACAAATAATAAGCAGCAATAGGAGGAGTGCAGGATTATGCTGTGTCAAACTTTCTTTTTCTAACTTTTTTTTCCATCTAATATGTAGAAATACATGTGTGTATGTACGTCCCTTAACAGGCAACATGAACTCTACTGACAGTCTATTTTCGTACTACTAGAAAACTGGTAAAATTGTAAAGAATTTCATAGAAAAAAGCTACGATATTCTCTTCGCGTCATATGAATAACAGGAGGTCGCAAGACGAATCTATCTCGCTTCAGTCTGTACAGTTCGAATGTGTTTACGGTGAGTGAATTGAATTTTAACATTGCAAACGAGAAGATGCACAAAGTTTTATCTCGACGTTCGGCGAACATCATCTCGCACAGCGAAAATTGCGTATAACATACATGTAACATTACACACGAATGTTTTCAACTGCGTCATCGTTAATGACCGTATCTCGCAGTCAACTTATTTCGGTCTATTCAAAGGCACGTACGCGCGCACGCGTGTGCATGAAACACGTAGAGTACGTAGTTTTCTACGCGAATATCGCACACGCACATCGTCGCAACCATCCTGTCGCATCCGTCATTTCGAACGTAATGAACGTAAAACGGATGCGAACGAATGTCGTCTTTATTGTTTTCTGTTTGCAATTTTCCTTTCTCCCCTTTTCCCCCTTTTTTCCGAGAACGTCCCCCAATTTCGAAGTCCCTCCTCGACGTTAAATTCTCCGAGCTCGGACATTGCACGATTGCATATAGGAATAAGTTCCCGTGCGCGTGACATTGAAACGTTCAGCTCTCTCTCTCGCGCGCGCGCGCGCGCATGCAGTGCACCGACATTAAAGTAACGCGCACACGCGGCCGTTTAATCGATAACGGCGAGTTCAAAATTCCCTTTCCGAATATCTGTAGGGAATAACGGAGCGAGTCGCGTGTTTATGAAACCTCCTCGCTCTCTGCAGCTCCCCCCATCGACATCCCCTTGCCTCCCCCCCTACTCGTCGAGAGAGAGGGTACGCATCGCGACGGTGAAGTAAATACCACGTTGTACGTTGTAAGCACGCGTACGCACTTATCGTACTCGAATATCGCTCCGCCACCGCGACTTCCGCATACAAGAAAATTTTCTCGTTGGGAAGAGAGAGAGAAGGGCAAAACGACAGGGAAAGAAAGAGGAGAATCAATCGTTTCTCATCGCGCATATTGGATCCGATTAGATTAGTATATACATTTCCAAGTTTCCTCCGACATAGACACAGCGTCGTGTGTGCCTGATTATTGTAGCCCAGGGTTACGTGCACGATTTCCGACCTTATGAATGTAAACTTGAGAATAGTACAGAAGACTCCATTAATGCGGTCCCATTTTTCAGATATGGCGATATCGAAAATCTCCAATCGAGCGCATTACATGCGACTAACTTGTGCATTGTGAATCCGCTAAAATTGTTACGTTACTTCAATAAAATGAACATGTTAAAAAGTAATATGTTAACAAGACGTCAATTTAACATATATTTATATACATTTGTGACATAACAATTTTAGTGGAACATTATTTACACAGAATTTTTTACCGCTCCGTTACCCGGGTAACCCGGGTAATCTCGAAAAATTCGAGCAGCCAGATAGTCGAAATCGGCAGCGCAGTTATAAAATGACCAGGCGTGTGTAAAACCGTGTGCGTGCGAAAGCGCACGCACACAGACGTGCCCGTTCGACCGGCCGATCGTCTCGCACGGAGATAGAGGTTATACCGCGTGTTTATCCACTTTATCATGCGAAACTTTAGGACGCAGCACGAACGACGCGACGGGGCGCCTGACCTACTAACTCGTTTTTGTTTAACTTATTCATTGTCCGATCGGAACCGCGAGCTTACGGAGGTCGTGAAAAGGTTGTAGAACGCGAGACGACACATACGTGTATGACGCGTTAGTGAGTGGGTATGTATGCACGCTCGTTGCGTATTAATAATGATTCCCGACTCAAAGTCGGTACTTCAGCGAGATTTGAAATTTCAAGCTGGTCGACGCGCGTCGGACAATCTCTAAAGAGCTGTCCACGATAGCCGTAAAGTATGCCTTTAAGACGCAAGTAGTAAGATAACTGACCGATTATATTTCGAAAAATGAATCGACCGTAGTTGGTCAATTAGCTTACTGCTTACAGGACGGCCCTTAAAGGACCGTCTATGTTAGAGGCAGTAACACTGCGGAATAGGGAATAAGAGGGTTTTTCTTCAGTGGAACAATACGTAAAACCGGGAGTAAGCGAAATGGATCATTCCTATTTCCTACCAGTCAGCCTGCTTGCCTAAGGCACTAGGAAATAGGAATGATCCATTTCGTTTACACCCGGTGCGTTTTTTTTCCACCGGAAAAACTCTTACTCTCTACTCTGCTGCAGTCTTACTACGTCCAATATAGACAGTTCTTCGTTTCAGCTATCGGTGTCACCCAATGCAGAGGAACGTTGCAGTCTCTCTCTCTTTTCAAAATAAATTATAACATTTTCGATGCTACAGCTCTTAACATTTTCGCAGAAGCGGAAACGAAGGAGCAATCGTTTGTTTCTTTCTTGTCCCGTCACTCGTTCGTTCTTTATGCGATTCGACAGCGGCTCGTCTCGCGGAGGAAATTATCGTAATCTCGAGACAAAGCGACCTTCCTCGGGCGTATGCGCCGCGACGGCGGCGGCGACTTCGATGGCAATCGCGTATCTAGAATGCGAGGAGAAGTGCGTCGGACGAATAAAACCGCGACAGTAGACGCGCGCGCGCGCACATACACACACAACATTCCCGCATACACACATGTATAAATATACGTATTCCGAATGCACCAAACGCTTTCCTGAAATCTCAAGAGATCGGCTGGAAAACTTGGTAGCATGCGCGAGGATCTTTCTTTCTCCGTCTATCTTCGTCTCCCTCCCCCTCCCTCCCTCGTCTACCCTCCCTCCTCGTTTCTTTTTCTTTCGCTCTCTCGCTCGCTCGCTCCGCATATTCGTCCCTCCGCTCTTTTGCCAGTAACTCGTTTTCCTTCTCTCTCCCTCTCTCTCCATCTCCTTCAGCACGGTAAAACGGGATTCTTTCCTTCTCTGGTCCGCCGTTCTCCGTACACTCGAGAGTGTTGGTGGATTGTCTGGTGTCCGTGAGGGCCTTCTGCGACGTTGCCGCATCGCGTGCTCGACGGCAGTGCATGGTTGCCGCGAGAGTTGGAGAGCGTCTCGCTCCTTCGCGCACGTTCATAGGCTCGCTCGGTCTCTCTCTCGTACTTTCTTCCCTCCGCGCGCGGCCGGGATCAACTGTACACCCTCCACCGCCAACGGCCAACATCCCCACCATCATCGCTGCCGGAGCCCCTCCGCATCCCTTCGCCTGGCGCGAGCCAGCCAGCCTACTTGCTTGCTTGTGTTCTCGGCGCAGTGCCGTACGCCATAATTTCGCGTGCCCAACATATGATATGTCGGAAAATCGCCAATTACCGGGACGGAAAACCGTTTGCTGGCTGCGCGGTCTGCCCGATGCCTCGTCCTCAAAAACTGTCTCGACGAGTCTCATTTGACCCATTCGCGTCGAAATGCAGACGCGCGTCGTGCGATCGTCGAAACACGAAGCGAAAATCCATAATACATAAATCTGGAATGGCGGTGCAGTACGCATATTCATCAAAATATTCGTCTTCGGATCGAGTGAGGTTGATTTTTTACAGTACTAAGCAGCGACTTTTTCAAAGAGCTACTTCTATACGTGGGATATATATGAATGTATAAATCTATAAAAAATAAACGTTCGGTTATAAGATTTTGCTACTTTTTCTTTCTCGTCCCGTCTCTCGTTCGTTCTTTATGCATCTGTCTTTTCAATTTCGTCGCTGGGCGGACACAGCTAGCTGGCACATTGTTGTGTCGCGGTCTATGAAAGAGTAACAACGGAGACGGAGCGGAATCGCACTTGTATCGAACGCGTCGCTTTCTCGGCGTGTTGTGGATCGCGTTTGTTCCACAATGTTGAACGTGTTCAATGAGCGAAGCGACCGATAAAATTTGCGATACTCCGACAAACGTTTGGCCTTTTGGAACGCAAAACGCGTCGCCGTACGCACAGCACGCTCGCAAATTATAAAATAGACAAATCAATCTCTCTCTTTCTCTCCTTTGCGCGTAGTGGAAATCAAGGTGCGAGACGAGAGAGAGGAAGAGAAGGGAAAGGAGGGAAAGAGCGGTCCCTTTGTGCGTTTTTATTATACATGCGAGAGGAGCGTTCGGCGGACCGAAAATAACAGAAAATGGAAGCCCGAGTGAAAGTAGAAGTTAAGGGACGTGCTGGTCGTTGACGGAATTTCAACGGAACAGCACGGCTCGAAGGAACACAACGTTAAAAATCAGCAAAACCGACCCAGCCGGAATCTGTATTTCTCCTTCGACATCGTTCGACAAACACGTTCGCGCGCGGATTTAAGCCAGACAACGACTCTCGCGTCCGGATTTCGAGCCATCGGCTTTAAGTCGGGGATCTTTCAGGATGTAGCCGAGCGCTCGTGGCCGGTGCACAGCGCAATCGGCTGTTCTACAGGAATTGTCGCGCAAGCATCGCTCATGTCGAAAAAAAGAAACGTCGCTCGGAGGATTCCGGCGTGAAAGACTCGCAGCAAAGGTGCGTTTCCTCCTCTTGAATGACACACGAGAGAATCGAAGGGGGCGACGGTAGCGCCAACCGACAGCAGCGCTCGAGCCGGCCCTGAGTTAGCGCAGTCCATTCCCTCCCGTTCGCAGAACGCGCGCGCGACGCTGCTACGGCGCTCGTTCGTTCGTTCTCGCTCGGTCGGTCGCTCGCTCACTCACTCGTTCTCGGTTCCCCCCACTCTGGAAGCGACGATACCCCTCATCCCGTCGCCGCGTTCGCGCCCGGACGTCCCGCACCCGCCGCGGCAGCCTGTTACCCTCACCCCGCGGCCGCTGCCCGCCCCGACGCTCCTCTCCCTTTTCCCCCCCGCTCACCTCACCGTGATTCCGCCTTGCCTGCCTGCCAGCCTGCCGTCCGTCCTTACGTCCGTCCGTTCGCCGTTTGGATCTATGGTTGTGTGCGGTGGATTTCGTGACGTTAACCTGGCGGCCCTGAAAACGCCGTGTGGATCGGCCGCGCCGATTTTCGTGCAGCGAGACACCGAGTCGTCGGGGCGCGAGTGCGCGAGAACGCGAGTGTTTTTTAATCGCGGTGACCCGTCGCCGTTGTTGCTGTCGCCGCCACCGCCGCCGCAGCCGTCGTTCGCCGCTGCTGCTGGCGATCGGCTCCACGTCAGGGAATACGATATATCGAGGAAATAGTTTTGTCGCGGGTAAGCTTCTCGCATTAACGAGAAAGAAGGTTAATGTGCGCGGGGCAGGGACGACGTGGGACATCCATCGTCGTCTTCGTTTCCGCCGTTATTATCGCCACCGTCATCGTTGTAGTCGTCATCGTCGTTGCCACCGCAGCCGCCGTCGTCGTCGTCGTTGCTAACGTCCTCTCGCGAGCGTGTCGTGTGAAGAAGAGTGTGCAGGAGAGAGAGACGCGAATATCGCCTCTCGTAACAGCTCCTGCACGACGAAATTCGCCTCGGAGGGCTAAAAAAGAAACCGCCGCCGCGTCGAAACGCACACCTTGTCATCGTGCTCCTTTATGTCAAGTCTATCGTCCCTCTTTGTCTCCCTCTCTCCTTCTCTCTTTTAGGCAATCACGCGAGTATGCGTAATCTTTTCCTTCTCACGCGTATCCATGCACGTATACACGCACAGCGTATATACGTGAGATGTGAATTATACACGCCACGAATACGTTCCGTCTTTATCTCTCTTCTTTCTCTATCCTGCTAGCTCTCTTTCTTCGTCTGTCTCTGCTTCTCTCTCTCTCTCTCTCCCACTCTCTGTCTCTCTCTCTCTTCCTTTCTCCCTCGCTTTCCTATTCATCCTGCCCATTCCCCGTTCAGGATCAAGTGCGATAAGGATTAAGGGGGAAATGAAGAAAAGGAGGTCTCTCTTTCTCTTCCGACGATAGCGATGATGATGACGACGATAACGTGAGACGCCTCCGCCCGCACCTGTATCCCGAGACAATCGGGAAACAGCCTACGGTACAGTGTCGCCGTGCAGTGTACAGTGAAATACGTATTTTACGAACATCTCTCGTTGCGATCGCGGAACGCCGCGACGCTATGCGCCGCGCGTCGTGTCGCGCCGCAGTATGTGACCGCATTTGTCACGACCGTCTCTGTGTGTACGAACGGTTCGCATGTTCACATTCTAATACGTACGTGCTCCTTTCCCTCGTTCGTTCTTTTGCTCGCTCGTTCGTTCGCTCGTCCGTTCGTTCATCCGTTCATCCGTCCGTCCGTCCGTTCGTTCGCTCGTTCGTTTGTTCATCCGCCTACTCGCTCGCTCATTCGTTCGTTCCTTTCTTTCCCGATCCGCCTGTATCTCTCGTCGCGACCGTCTTCGGCCACCATCCCGGACAACACGTCGTGTTTACTACGATGCGCGTCGATGCGCTGATGCAAAGGTGCCGCGATTACCGACCGAGTGTTCGCTATCACGCCCGTGCCTGCCGCCGCTCCTTCGTCATGATACATCATCCAGCTGGTGCCTCTTCGCCCGCCCGCTCCGGTTCTCGTGTACCTCGAATCTTCGTCGTCGTCGACCTCGTCGGCGACCTCGTGGTTTGACCTCGTCGTCGCGTCGACTCGCCCGCCCGCCTGACTTCTCGTCATCGACGAAAAGAGTCATCGTCTCGAGACGTTCTCTCTCTCTCTCTGTGTTCTCCATGTGTGATGTACCGCTTGTGATCCACGCCGTGGTGGCCCAACCTCTGCGCTCCCGCATTTTTGTGCCCGCCGAGCCCGGGGAGTATCGAGGCACGACCGAGTAGTAGCGGCCGCGCGGTGTTTCGAGAACGAAGCCTGAAAATAACGGACCTATTAATAGGGGGATATCTAACGACGCGCGCGGCCACGTTCCGCGTGTGAACTTGAAGATAGTGAGGACCGACGACGACGAGCAGCGCGACCGCCGACGATCGTACGTATATCACCGTGTTTTCTTCTTCATCGTGCCTTTGATCCGCGCGAGCTGAGTCTGCGGAGGAGCAGGACGAGCAGCGAGTCGTTCGATCGAGAGAAGACGATATCTTGTCTCCCGAAAGGGACGGACTTGTTCGAAATTAACCGGAGCTTCTTCTTTCTCTCTCTCTCCGCACAACGGAGGATTCGCTCGCGCGAATCGCCTCGTTGCTCGACTCGCTCTCCGAGCTCGCGCAGAAATTTGCTGTGCACGGCCTGCACGATCGCGTCGCCCCGATGTCGGAACGCGACGCGACGGTACGCGTCGTATCGGAAATTTCTCCCTTCATTTCGCTCCTTTCTTCCTAGGAAGGATTACAGTTTGCGTTCAAGACGACCGTATCGGGACGATGCGGACGTTGCGCGAGAATGTGTATTAGAGTGTTAACAAAGCGAGATAGAGAGAGACGATACGGAGTTTTCGGTCGGCAATGCGCGATACGCACATCCCCCTTCGTCCAAGTTTGCGAGCGAATCGTTCATTAGTGCGTTCGTCGTATTATCGTGCATACTATCGTTGAAAGAAGTGATGCGAGTTTCGCAGAGATAAAAAAAATTGGCCGTAATTCCACGCGATCGCATCGACGTGATCCTCCCAGTTTACTCGTCGGGTTGTGAGTTGAGATCAACGAAGAAGCATCTTTGATAGGCGGAATTACGTCGAATGTAGACGCAGTGTTTCGGTGTATCTCACGCGTCTACGCACAGTGAGCAATGAAATCCGAAATATGAAAAAATTGTCCTGAGTTGTTCGTTCGTCGCATTTGCCGCGCTCTCGTCCGTCGCGTCACGGGGAATACCGTAGTGCAGAAACGCCCCGATCCGTGACACGAAACTGCGAGCGAGCGAGGTGAACAAGTTCGGATCGTCGGACGCGATCTTACGTCGCTCGATCGCGATTCGTATGAGAAGCGCGACGGCGGCAGTATTTATTTAACGACGCGCGAGTGAAGACACGCAAGTGAATTAATTCACGCAACGTGCTGGCGAGTGTTGGACGAGAGAGAGAGAGAGAGAGGAAATGTGTTGCGATTGCAAAAGAAGTTGCCTTTTGAGGACGAAACGACAGCATGCGACATTTTCCAACATTTTCCTCCTCTCGAGATCGTCGGTCCAATTACTCATCATTAATTATTTACCTTAATTATTTACGTCTTTTCCTTCATGTTCCTACTTTATAACAGCCGATGAAATGCGAAATTTCGCGGAATTGTCTTTTCTTTTTTTTCTTCCACGATGCGCGGCCGAGTGGCCGATCGCTTATGATTTTCTCGCACGCTGTTGCTAATTTAAACGCTGGCGCACGCTGCCAAGTATATACGCGCGCGGTCCGCCTATGCGAGAGTTGCGGGCCCGTTCGACGCATCGGCGCGTCACTTTTGCGACGATCGCTTCGATTGCATTGTTCCTCGCGAGTTGTTCGAGCGGCCCGCAAAGTCAATTATCTCGCGCGTTATTTTGTCTATGCTTCATTAGCCGATGGATTGAGAGTGAAAGTGACACGTGTCGCGAAACTTTTGCTCTACTGTTGAGCGCGCACGCGAGAGAGAACGACGAAATGCGGATAAATGATCGGCGCTGCTTATTCCCGAAAGATTCGATATATCGGATTCTGCCCGCCGGTTTTATTTCCGGCGGTTGCTTATTATTTTACACGCGCCATCATTGCTTCGTACTATCTTCGCTCGCTCTCCTCGTACATTTTTCTCCGCCGTTTGTCCCTTGTCGAACGCGCTGTCGTACTTGCTCTATTTTAAACGCGGAGGATAAAAAAGGATGCAACCTATAAAACGAACGATAATCGTGCGAGTTTCGCGACCGGTCGGTATTTCGGTGCTCGTTTTATACCCGTCCTGTTCGACTGCTGTTCTTTTTTAATGCTCTCCGCAAGCAGAACGAAGCTCATGAATAAATGTTCGTTATTTGAGCGGGAATAGAAGAAAAAAGAGAAAGGGAGTAAACGCGCGATAAAGCGGAGAAAGTATAATGTTCGAAACAAAAATCTCGCCGGTCAATTTCAACGAGGATTTTATCCTCGACGAACGATTTCATCTGGTCTGTGAGAGAGAGAGACACGGTGGGAAGAATGAAAAGTTTGCGAGAGATGGACGCATCGGACGTTTCCGTCGAACGTCCGAGGACCGTGAAGTGAGCGCGAATCGCGTAACACGAGGTGGACGGAGTTTGTATTTTTTTCCCTCCTAGAACACGACGTTCTAATTTCGCGGAAATTCGCGTTCTATCGCGAGCGACGTTCTTGACAACGTGTCAACACGCATGTTAAGCTGGATATACATTGGACGAACAAACAGTGAACGAAAGCGAATGTTCGTTGTTCGCTCGTTGTTCGTCCGTTTCTCTTTCACCTGTGATTTGTTTGTACTTTTAGACCCAAAAAATGCATACCAATCAAATCCAAAGGTTCACTGAGAACCTCCTCTTACCAATAATGCGGGATGTCACATGCGTGTTTCCGTGTAGCCAAGGGAAGTCATTGAACGCTCAGTGAGTGACTTGAGTCTGATATATATTTTTATATATTGTATATTGATACATACATCTAAAATTACAAACAAATTACAGGCAGGAGCTAGCCGAATGTTCACTTGAACTTTCTCTTTGTCCTCGAGAGTGAATTGGCCGAATCAAAACAAAATTCAACGTTCTCTTCGGATTTGTCAAAACGTATACATATTTCCGAACCGTAACAACAAATAGCCGCATTCTTCGTTCGCTCGTTCATTCGCTAAGTATATACCCGTAAACGTTATATAAACGTTCTATTCGGATTCATCAAAGCGTACGTACTTTCCGAACCGTAACAGCGAATAGTTGAATTCGTTGTTCGTCCGCTCAGTGTGTACCCAGCTTTACGAATCTGAACGTCGCGATCGCGCTTGTCACAAACTTCGAGAGTCTCGCTTGAGATGTTCGGATGACAATTTCATTCCTTGATGTTGCTCCGGCGAATTTCGAAGCGCGATGCAACTGGCGAGATGCGTGTTACAGCCGCGAAATATTCCGCCTCGTCGATTGATCGAGCGAGTCGATATTCACCCGTCGTCCGTCGAATGATCGTCATCGACACAGAGTTTTTGCACGTCGGCCGATTACGAAAACGTTCGAAAGCGACATTTTTTCGGGAAATATGTGAGTCAAAATTCGGCTGGTACTTTGACGCTCTTAAGGATATTTCTGTTTAGACGACTTATGGACCGGTGAAAACCAGTCTCTGACGATACTACACTTATTAATTCTCTCTTGAAACTCGAATTTCTGCAAATTTAACTTTAATTCTAACTCGAAGCTGTAATTGCAATCTCGATATTTCAATTATCAAATTCATACGAGCATTCAAAACAACCTATTTGGACGCTGAGAGCAGCGAAAACTGAAGACACCATTATGGTTAAAGTAGGAGTAAACGTTACATCATTAGAATTGAACCTACTTTGTTATTTTAGCATGCGGTCCCATTGCAAGTGCTTCGAAGTGTTTTCTAACACACATTTGATGACGTCGTTATAGAGCTAAAATGCTTTGGAGCATCCAATGGACCTTGCCTTTAGTTTCTATTGTGTTGTAGAATTAAAGCTTTAGTAGAACTATAATTTTGACTCCGATAACGTCAGGCGACAAACAACAATCTACTACGTGTGCCAGTCGAGTGTCAGCTGCGTTTTAAATACTTATACAATGAAGTATTCGTCTCCGACATTTTTTCCAATACCAACATTTCTTTTTTCGGAGTTACTATGCGTCATGTTTGAAATATCTCGGCCTCGTGCGATAGTACGTCAAAGCGATGTTGATACGACATTGAAGCTGGCACGACATTTTACTCGGTTTGGTCTTTAAGCCACGCGTTGTCGAGAGAAAGTGCGCGATATTTGATACACCCTGTATACGTCGGCCAGCTCGAAACGACCTTACGAGATGGCCGCCGCGCACGAAGCATTCTTGGCCTCCGAGGCTCTATTAGGAAAGCTCCAGTTCCAAGATATCCCTGAATATTCATTGAATTTATAAATATCCTTTGTGATATCCAGATTTCTTTGTATATTCGATATCGAATCGCTCGCAATAAACGTAGGCGTATTTTTTACAGTGCCGCGACTTCTGACATTCAAACGCGCCGGAGAAAATAAAATTAAAACGGCAAATCTGATCACAAGTAAGAAGTAGACAGAAAAAAAATTCTTTTTTGAGAAAATATATTTATATATTTTCAACTTGCACATGTTGAAATGAAGTTATATAACGTTGAACAGATAAAACTTGCTTGAATGAAAAAATTACACATAGTACCACTAAAAATATAATATTCTCCTTATTCAAGAGTAATTTTCTTAAATTGAGAGTAAGAAATATATGACAGGAAAGAAGAATCTTCAAGTCGAGAGTTACAATGCATTCTTTAACTTGAAATTATATTATTTATATTTGAATATAGTTTATTCTTAGAAAAAGTAGTTTATATCATTAAATCGACTCGTTGAAAGTTCTTATGATGTCTTATTTCAAGATTGAGGCATAAAATCACGTAAAAGACCTGATTATATTGTGAAATAAAAATACTTATATAGTTGGGAGAAGATACATTTGATTCAAATACAGAATTACTCAAAATAACACACATCTATCAATATAATTTCTACGATTCACAGTTCTCTTCTGTAATATACAAATCTGAAGTAATATTCTGATCTTTAGCTGAAGTTTACGTCGTACGTTTACGGTTGTGGCAATTTGTATGCGAAAGCCCTTACTCTCTCAGTTTAGAGTGAAATCTCGCTAAAAAAAAGAGCGAAAATTTCTTTGACACACATCGTCTTCTTCACTTATCAAACCACCTTCTACGTCCGAACAATGAGTCGATCATTATCAGCAAGTAGTTGAGAAAAATATTTTCCGTTGAAACAAGACTTATCGCAAATTCCGAGCTGTTCCGAAACGAGG